TTGTGTGTGTGTGCGTTTGTGTGTGTGTTTGTGAGTGTGTGAATGTGCGTGCGCGTGTGTGCGTGTGTGTGTGTGTGTGTGTGTGTAACAACGGTGACTCTGATGGAGAAAACAACACTTTCATTCTAATGTAATTACTAAACCTCTGTCAAAATAACCAAAGGTAGATGAGATAGATTTTTTTACTAATCGTGTAAGATCGCATTCACAACGAGTTGAGCTAGGCTTTACAAATCCTAGGTACTAAATATGGTGGACGTACATGAAAGAAAAACCGCCTAATCTTTTAATAGCTTCTCCGCCTCTCACACGCCTCCCCATGTGTCGTCCCAATGGAGCAGAAATTTAATGACTGTACCCCCGCAGGGACGACGCAAGTTTTCAGTTGTTTCTGTTACTCAGTTTATCGAGTAAAATGCACAAAAAAAGAAAAATATATACTTCTTTTGGATTTTAGTATGTGTGTCAACTTCCCCCTCGGGGTGCACAAATTTGACCCAGGGTGGTAATTTAAAAAAATGAATTAACTCTTAGATCGCTAACATCCCCCTTCCACCTAACTCGGTTCTGGACCAGTCTTTTCACTATGCACGAACATACCTTGTCACATATCATTTTATAGGTGAGATCTTGGCTAAACTGCGGCAACCTGATGGCTACCCTGTCCGGCTTTTCCCTGGCCGCTTCCTGCAGGCATTCCCACACCGTGCGTCCCACTAGAGGCTCGCTGCTGGCCCCGTGGATGTAACTGTTCTTTAACGGTTCGTTTGGAGGCGTGGCATCGCTGGATACAGAGGTGAAAAAGAATAATATGAAGTATACTGCAAACACCGATTCTTAAGTAAATAAACAATTGAACCAACCGACAGACAGACCAACAGACAGACAGACAGACAAACAGACAGACAGACAGACGGACAAATACTATACCCTGGGTTTTCAACGATTGACTTCCACATCCTTCTATCGCTATGCCAGACAGACGTACTGAATAGACACTGACACAAATACACTCTATACACACCGATATAATAAATATAGTTTATAAATAAAAGTTATCTATGATCTCTCACTCCTGATTGGTGGATTCTTGTCTTTATCCGGAATGACTTGACAGTCACTGGTTTATATAAGTATATATAAGTTTATATATGTAAGGTTTTTACGAAAAGCCGTGGAAGGCAAAAATAAACACTTGCGAGATTTTCAAACCCATGGAGTGCACCTTTCACGATCACCTGTTAATAAATATATAATTTCACTTGTTTGATGGGCCTTAGCCTAAGATGACTGGATTTTAGAAAGCCATATAGCCCCAGGTCTTGGAAAATGTCTGTGTTACGCACAAGCCCTGAGAGACTGTGTCATGTGAGTTGGGAGGATATTTTTGTACATGTGGGTTACAAAAATAAACATACACCCAACCGATCTTATCTCTGTCATTACGTCCTACTTAGGCTGCTTGTCCCTGCTTTGTCTTGTCTTTATTTTGGACGGCATTTATTCCATTTGTTTCTCTAACCTGGGTTTTAAAGCGATAAAAACGTCTACCACTGCGGTTTACTATATGACCTCTCACTCCTGATTGGTGGATCCTTGTCTTTATCCAGAATGACTTGACAGTCACTGGTTTATACTTATCCGCAGCCCTTGATAACGGTCGAAAAAAAATTTTGAAACCCCATACGTAATGTCATATAAATTTTAATGCAAACAGTATTTATGTCTCCTCATTAATAGCATATTCACAAAATTGTATTCATATTGTCATTTCCATCCACACAAGTGGAAGCATATGTTACAGTGAAATAATTTAAACTAAACTAAACATTAACCCAAGCCAAAGGATAAGTAAATGACAAATACAGATATACATGTATAGTGTACGAAATTTGGCCGGTATCGGCCACTTTTATTGAAAAGTCCGTCTATAAAAGGATGGTGTTAGATATTATATAGCATTAAATAATGTTAATTAGTTAAAATTACGTAATGTTATCTCTTAAAAATAAATATCAAAACAAATAGTGCAAATATTTTCATTTGTGGGGTTGCAAAGAGGCCAACAATTGCAACCAGAAAAAAGAATGGAAAATAAAAACCAAAATAGCATAAGCCGAAATAATGCAAGCCAAAATATATTCATGTTATTATGCATGTATATATATACAAACAAAAGCCAAATGAGTTATGTGCCAAAATTATACAGCCGAAAAGAAGTCGAAAGATAGTTGAATGTGAACCAAATATATAATAACAACATGAGCCTAAATAAATATCTTGCCGAAATTGGGGTAAGGATGCTAGTAGGCTGACAAAGTGAAACAAATTCCTTTATTTAAGGGCAACTCCTTGAGATCTTCCCTCCAAATGGATTTTGCCGGGAAAATAACCAATTTTCTCTTACTCACGGATCTTATATCAATCCCTCTCTGCACTTGAATTCGATCTTAAATTTTAATTTTAATTTTAAAATATTATAGAGGTTGATTTAGTTTAGAATTTCCGACCAGTCATTATAACCAGCGAACATCTTCTTAAGCTCCCACAGAAGTATTAACATCAGGTACGCTCCAAAAAAATTGTTTAAGGGGTTTAATCGATTTTAAGGTTTATGTAAAGTTTTTACGAAAAACCGTGGAAGGCAAAAATAGACACTTGCGAGATTTTCAAACCCATGGAGTGCACCTTTCATGATCACCTGTTAATAAATATATATTTTCACTTGTTTGATGGGCCTTAGCCTAAGATGACTGGATTTTAGAAAGCCAGATAGCCCCAGGTCTTGGAAAATGTCCGTTTTACGCACATGACTGTGTCATGTGAGTTGGGAGGATATTTTTGTACATGTGGGTTACAAAGATAAACATACACCCAACCGATCTTATCTCTGTCATTACGTCCCACGTAGGCTGCCTGTCACCGCCTTGTCTTTGACCTTATTTTGGACGGCATTTTTGTTCCATTTGTTTCTCTAACCTTATAATTTCAAAGCGATAAAAATGTCTCCAACTGTGGTTTATTATATATATATATATATATATATATATATATATATATATATATATATATATATATATATATATATATATATATATTTGTAGTGGGTCGCCATATTTGACCCTTTGACAAGTTAGTCCCCTATTCTATGGTAATGGGGCCCAAGAAGCTCATCCTATCTCGTTTGAGATGCTTTATCAAGTGTACAGTGTACAGTGTACAGTGATGCAACAAAACAGACTTATTTATATGCACCCTTATTTTCAACTTTGTAAATAACACAGGGCCTACAGAAAGGTTTTGGTTATTAATTCCATTAATATCATGTATTAATTGTTTCGCAAGTGGTAGACTTAGTGTAGAAAATAGTGTTCCGTTTGTTTAGGTTTGTCTTTTCTCCAATTGTTGGAGTGGCAAAGGGGTCAGAGTTAGTCCGCCTGTTGATTTGAAGATTATCACGCGTATATAAGTACATGCTGTATAATAGTATTACAGTAGATGGCGACAGTGTATAAATTGTATCGAGTTGACAACAGCCCGGCAGCCATGACACATAACAATCTGTGATTACGGTATACCCGAGCAAACAAAATATTCAACAAAATGAAATTGAAACATTCTTTTCTTTCACAATAATGAACCCGTTAAAAGACACAGAAACCTAAAGACCATTTAAACCTTTACAATCACAGCAAGAATTTCATTTACGTTTTTTTACGTACACATTTTGGTTCATTTAACAAAATAAGTGCCACATGTTCTGATAGTTCTTTCTTAAGATCCTGCCATTCTTATAAAATTCATTTTGAAAAAGGTGAAAGATGTCATGTCATTGGACATTTTAATCAATTAAAAGCAAACACAATGTATCAAGAATTTTTACCCCTTTATGCAAATTCATCGAGGCCTTTCGCCATATAAAACTGTTATTTGTACTTCAGAAACGTCAATTACATCAACATTATCCCGATAAATGTTGTTGTTGTTGTTTATTATTATTATTATTATTATTATTATTATTATTATTATTATTATCCCTTTTTTCTTTTCTGTTTATATAAGCACAAATCGATATTGGTCACTGGAAACTTTCAATCTCGTCTCGCGAGAAATCTCGCAAATGTCAGAAGTCCCGGATGTGAAACAATTCCAGGCCTGTCTTGTCGCCACTGTTTTCACTGGTTCATCTCACTCAACTTCAATTTACCGGAATCCAGGAGGATATTCTTGGCACTTTTCAGGAGTTCTTCTTTGGATACCTGAAGGGACAGAATTATCGATACTCTGACACATGTAAGACGTACATAATAACATAATAACAGTTCACGTGAACAGATCCATTGCCCCTTTATTCTTTACGAAAAAAACATCCAAGGTCACAAATACCATAAATATATATATACATGTACATATAAGTGGCAAATGGGCGTTAGGCAAGCAAAATGACGGGTAAATAATCATATTTATTATTTATGCATTAATAAGGTGAGAAAAAAAACTCTTGACGAGTTGACACACACAAACACGCACACTTTTTTTAAATAACTAAAACTCACAGCCTCTTTTAAACATCATTCTCTGGCCTCACCTTCTGCCTGATCCCCACCCTGGGGAACGTCTCCATGACGACATAGTGGTCAGGCCACATGTGATCCAACAGCTGAAATGAGGAATTACGGGCTGTTATATCCATAGTATAGTAAGCAGAAAGCACGAACACAAACCATATATAGACTAAATGACGTCATATGGCGATCGTTACCTCTCACTTGGCCCTATTCTTCGATCTGTTCGATCTGTTTATTACGTTCGGCCACATTTAATCCAACAGTTAAAAACAACAGGAGAGAAGAACCATGAGTGTGGCGTCAAATATGGGGTGTTCACACCCAGCCTAACTTGATCCGAAATTAAATGACGTCACCACATGGACAGATAACACCACAAATTATACAGTGTCGTACAGTGTTCAATCCCACGTTAAGCATCTGAATTCTTGGTGACGTCATAAGGCTGGTGTTCTACCTGTCCCAGATAGGCCTCATGTGAACGTGTTATGAGGCATGCGTTAGATGTTTAAAGATTCTTAAAGTATAATCAACAAAGGGACCGACTAAGACCCCCTTCTCATAAAGGTCATAAAGACACCAGCGATCTACGTGCATGGATAGACTCAACTCAGTGGGGGACTCTTGCTAAATGCAATCAGCACAATTGAATGACATGCCTCCTTTTGTTTCTTAAGTGCTCGTAAAATCACCAGCTTTTTTACTCTTACTGAGGTCATAATTCATTGTATTTTACGTAACTCACTGGATTTTCCACCATAATGGCTCATACTCACCTCGCTCTGGCAATGAGATCGCAGCTCACCTTCTGTTATATTTTGGCCCTGGATAGGTCTGGAGAAATATAAGAGAAAACGTTTTATAAATATATCAAGCATGTTTTTTCACACAGGCACCCACGCACACATTCATTCATCTTCTTACATTTTACATCTTCTTTTTACACATTTGAGCGCACCCATGCGCGCGCGCACACACACACACACACACACACACAAAAACACACACAAACACACACACACGCTCGCGTTAGCACGCACATATATGCACACGCTATCACGCGAACATTCGATGTCATTCCTCCAAATATGTCTGTCCTATTAAACACTACAGCACTGTCAATCTTGTTTATAATGATACCAGGACGGTGAGTGTGGAATGACTCAGCGTAAATTGTAAGGTTGCTTTATGGACTGCGGCAAAATAATTGTACAGTTCGTATAGTAACTATAACTTTATGTTGATAACCGTCAAATTATGTTAAACTTACTAATGCACCTTTAAATATCCAAATGATATCATAAATTCACGAGTCAAATGAGTCGCTGAAGAGCTCTTGTCATAGGCCCATTCAGAATAGGGGACTAATTGGTCTGAGGGTCAAATATGGCGGACCCACTTGAATACTTCCCCACGGGATATCTATTCAGTGCTTATTAGCGGATCAGACGGCAAGTTTTGTGGTAGGTCGCCATATTTGAACTTCGGACTAGTAAGACCGCTATTCTGAATGGGGCTATATTCAACGGCATTTTCGCGAGAGGTTTGTATAGATATGCATGTACATGTAGTAATCATTTTGGCAGATTTTGCAGCTAGACACGTACGCGTATTTTAAAGATTGCACATCCACTTCATACGGTTACTTACATAACACATAGAATGATGGTATCAAGGTCATCTTCGCCCGGTTTTCTAAACCCAACTGCCTTAACCAAGCAAAAAGATCATCATTATCATCATCATCATCATCATCATCTTTATCATAATAAAAATAATTATAATGATTATAATAATAATATATGCGTTCCGTTCCCAGAAAAGTGAGCCCTATTGTCGATATTTGTCATTGATTTCCGAGGCAATGGATATAATGAGCATCCTTGTGATGGTCGGGAGCACTTTTCAAGAATAAATACAACAGTAAGCGATATAAAACGTGCGTGAGCGCATTTTCAGAAACAGAAACAGGGCTGTTATTTTCCTTTAATTATATTATAGCTATGATTATCACTGTTTCATGATAAAATGTCCTGTTTCAGAACACAAACGTTCGTAAACGACCACTCGACTCTTCCGATCAAGCGTGTATTTCTATAATACATGTATATATGTCGTGAGTCATACAGTTGTAAGTACTGATATCATATCATTAATGGAAAATTTTGTACAGGGGTATTAATGACGTTGCTTATACCAAAAGGAGTTAGTCAAGTTGTTTTAGAGGGCGTGCTCCAGACTTCCCCACAACAGTTCCCCTACAGGCCTCTCTTTCTCTCTCTCACCTGTGCCTGACTGATTTTAGGATGTTTTGCTGCTGCAATCTCTATGGCAGCAGGATAAACCTTGTCGCCCCAGCGAGAAAAATGGAGTACATGAAATTTCCGTCCAGTGTAGTACATAAACCCGTATTCATTCATCGTACCAATGTCTCTGGGGTATGGAATAGAAAATGATTAATTGGATCGGGATAAGCACACGTTTTGCAAACGCCCAACATGTCTTATTTCTTTCATCAAAGTTCATATAAACATTTCAAAACATATTTAGGGTGTTAGTTGCAGTTACATTAAGCACTACGATATGTCACAACTTTGACACCCTCAAACTGCAAAGTCACAAATATCACTCTCTCCCAGTGTGTTGTCACAACCAGCACACTCACCCAATGTGTTGACACAATTATCACACTCACCAATGTGTTGTCACAACTATCACGCTCACCAAGTGTGTTGTCACAATTATCACACTCACCCAGTGTGTTGTCACAACTATCACACTCACCCAGTGTGTTGTCACAACTATCAAACTCACCAAGTGTGTTGTCACAACTATCACACTCACCAAGTGTGTTGTCACAACTATCACACTCACCCATTGTGCTGTTTCAACTCATCAAACGCGTTGTCCCATTTAACACATAACATACCCAGTGTGGTACCAACCAGACTGGGACACCACTTTCCTGTACAAGTCTTCAGAACCGTAATAAGTACTGAACATGAACACCCCTCGCACACATATTTCCCCTTCCACGCCTGGAGGAACGATCTTGTTGTTTGCATCAACTATTTTCACCTGTAATACGAAGAAATAGACCAGTTTATTGAAACCAATTTGGGTACAGATTTTTTGATATATTGGTAACATTGTTTTTTTCTAATAAACGCCCAGGAAATAACTTTATTAAGGCAAAATCTTCATGGTCATCTTCAGGGTCACTGAACTCTATATAATGGTAGAAGGAATATCATTTTACACAACTATAGTTATAATGAAGTTTGTTTGATTGACTCCCTTTGTCTGTCTCCCTCTCTCTCTCTCTCTCTCTCTCACTCACACACACACACACACACACACACACACCTCAGTGTGTGGCGGTGGAAAGCCTATACCGCGGTACCGGCGGTCAAAGTCGTCATCCAGTGGATAGGTGGCGCTGACGTTCCAGTATTCTGTAGTGCCGAGTGCGACCTGAAAACACCAAGAGTGAATTATACGTGATGAAGTTCATCAGCTCAAAACCAACAATCCACTTTCTACATGTACTTTCACGAACAAGCAATATATTCCCTTGGCAGTGCTGTATTCCCATTCACAGTACAAAAAAAAACGCATTTGCAACATGTTGTGCGACTTTTTGTAAGCTTTTTTTTGTCGGAAAATAAATATACAACACCGTGCTCTTCTGCTCTATGTAAATGAAATGATTCAAGCTGTAGTTTCATAGTGTTCAAGGTCATAATAATTTATAGAATGTTTCTGAAAGTTGTGTGTTTGTGTGTTTGCATTGTTTCCTTTTACATCGAGGACCAGTTTAAGAAATCGTGTAATTCTATATTTCCTTTAAAGGTTAAAGATACACGTTGCCATACTGGTATTATATCAAAGGATACTGGAAAATTCTTAATAACAGTCTTTAGGAAACAACCAAAGAACGACCCTAACCTAAATATGGAAACACCTAGAATATCTTATATGGCTCAAATAAAGATTTTGAAAGGCAAAACCTTACCACAAATTCTGGGATTAGCTTTGAGCACTGCTCTCTCAGTTTCTCCGTGATCACTGTGGACGTGAGAATACCTAAAGACGCCAAAAAAAAAAAAAAAACATCCTTGATTCAAACAGGTCTATAGTACATGCAGGTGCCGGAGAAAAGGGATAAGATATACGTGTAAACATGGCCTAGGACAAACTGAAAACAAGAGTCCGGTGCAAGAATTGTCTGTAAGATTGTTTTTAGATGATTTTCAGTTCCGAAGGAGTACAGTTATATATTAACACAGCATCTAAAGTGAGCCCTGGTTTTAATGTTCATAATAAGCCACTACAAGGGACGCTTTTTTATTTTATCATTTTTATCATTATATTTATTATTTTTCCTCTAGTAAATCTTAAATGTTTTATCAAATAATTACACATTTTTCAAAGAAGAAATGTACCTCGTTTAACAGAAGATGTGTCGTATTTCTGGACAATCTCGGCATCAAGCTCCAGACCCTTCATCAGAAATGTCGGGTACAGCTCCAGGTGGGTGATCCTGAAAAAATGGAGATTATGTTTTAATGAATGAATTTAATGAAGTACCATTGACATTAAAAGCTCGTGCTTCTTGAGTGAATTCCACTGAGATATATTTAACTAAAATCAAATTTTGCATTGGGCTTGAAAAATTGAAAATTTCAAAACCAGATTATACACCATACATGTACGTGTGAACCGTGACGTCTAACTTAACCGGATGTTGCCCAAATAATTTAAACCTTCGAAAGTCTCTAACCTCGGTTCAAAACAACAAAACCCCTGTTACACTGGGTTTGCGACGCTTTGGACAACAAAGTTAGCCCATTACCGATTCCTTTAAAGTTGGAGTTTTGACAAAATATGATAGTCGCCTTCAAAATCAAAGTCGTTCGTACATGTACATTATCAGTGTTAATGTACTATTACAGATTGTCATATTACACATGTGTGAGAGCGGGTTCAAATTGGTTCTCCAAGAGGTGACAAGCCCAATGTCACAGGGGCTTAAAGTGACTACCCATCAGGCAAACGACATTGATTCTACGTTGATTCAACGTTGATCCGCCAAAATTAACGTTGATTCAACGGTGAATCAATGTCGTTTGTCTGCTGGGTAACCCAATACAACATACCTGCACTCTTGTATAGATTTGTACAAATCCTCCATGTGGTAGCCCTCATCTTCGTTCTCCCCCTGGAATTCTACGTCCCACAGTGTGGACGGTAATATCACAAGCTGGATGTCTTTATCATTCTCCACACTGACCCAGTAGACGTAATCTGCTACCAGTTCGTCGTGAACGGGATTGCCCACTCCAACTACCACCGGCTGGTATCACAATAGATAGATAAATAGATCAATAGCTAGTACAGATAGATCAACAGATAAATCAACAGATTAACCTATAGATCAATAGGTAGATTGCTGAACACTATCGGCCGATTTCATAAAGGAGGTTTAACTAAACCTAGTTTAAGGCTAAAACCTAGTCTAGCAAAACCTGGTCTAACTCAAGACCTAAATTGCATTTCACTAACAGTGTAGGAAAGCCAGAAAACCAGGTTTAGCTAAACCAGTTTTAACTTGTCCTTGACCTCCTGTTGAATGTAACAGGATTACATAGACAAAGAAATCACTGAACTGTGTCAATCAGGTAGGCGTAAATGAATAGATGACACACACTAGCGTTGAAGCAGATAAGCTGTGTAGCTCATATGAGAAAAAAACTTTGGAAGTAAAGAGCACGTGAAAATGAGCCGAAAGAGAGCGGATAATTTTTCTGCTGAAGAGAAGGGATACATCTCAGAACTAATAAAGGAGAAGTCCAACATCATTGAAACAAAGGAAAATGATGTCACATCAAGTCAAAGAAAAAATGAGGCGTGGAAAGAAATTCTAACAAGATTGGCAGCACATTTTCCACAAGCCGGGAAAAGAACAGGGCTCCGTATCTCGAAAGATTCGCTATGTTGCGTGCGCAACATAGCGAGCCTTTCGAGATACGGAGCCCTGAAAGGCAGGTGAAAGACTTATGGAAACGAGCGAAAATTAAAGCTAAGAAAGAATTTGCAAATGTTAAAAAAAGCTGCAAAAAAGACTGGAGGGGGGCCAAAAGAGGTTGAATTAAGTCAAGAAAATCAAGTAGTGATAGATCTTTTTCCAAGCTACAGAGTTAAACCTGGGTCTGACCAGGTTTATTTTTAAACTTGGTCTGAGTCCATAATCCGGGTATCAAAAACTTAGACCTCAATTATGAAACACAAACCTGTCTAGACCAGGTTTAGAATGATGTTAAACCAGGTTTTACTAGACCACTGGTCCAATACTAAAACCTCCTTTATGACATGCAGGCATTCCCTAAATCTGGTGTAAACTCACTTTAGACCAGGTTTAACTTTAAACCTCCTTTATGAAATCGGCCGTATAAGTCTATCAGAAAACAAGAGGATTTCCAAAATCTGAGAGCTAATTGGATCTAATATTTCTGTTGGGTCATCCATTAATATTTGTTCACCAAGATGACCAGAGGAGTTCCGTTGTAAAACTGGTTGTATTTTGTCGTATAAAGCAAAGTCAAGTACTATCGTTTGATAAAAAGCGTTAATTACTGTAATATATACTACAGGAAACTATATAGGATAGAAGGTTACATTTTTTTCTAGTTTTCTAAAGATTTCACGATACAGGAATAACTTTATTTGAAAATGGTCTTTATTACCTTCTTATAGTCAGCGTATCGTAGTAAGGAAAACTTGAGCAAGTTGACCGCCTTAAAATGACTATTGACGGAACATTTAGGAACGCCGGTGCTGCCCTGGAATCAAAAAGGATGGTTAACGGTGTTAATGTGATGTTTTCCACAGACAGCAGTACGTTTAATCAAGTAAAAATTTCCACTCCAATGATCTCCGTGCGAGAAAGAATTTTAATTTTTTTTTTTTTTTTTTTTTTTTTTTTTTTTTTTTTTTTAAACCCTTTTTTCCCATTTTTTTAAAAATTTTTTTAAAA